TACATCATGTCGTCAGCCCATCCAACCGAAAGGAGGGATCAAAAGTGCACTGTCGAGTCAAAGCGACGAGGATATGGCGTAAATAAACACTATTTAAAGGTGTGTAAAATGCCATTTCCCACGTCTGTTTCTGGGTTATCCGGAGCGGGTTGCCGTTTGAAAAGAAACGTTCATTAATCTTTTTTCCGCCTCAAGCACCCGAGCTTCTTCCTGCCCTCCCGGCCCCATCGCTTCCTCACATCATGTCGGCCTCCCGACGCAACTCCAAGGACTCTGCCCGTACGTCCATGATGCGCATGGGGGTAGACGCCTCATGGAGATGATGTAGGCCAAGAAGACCCCGAGACGGCCGCGATGGCGGACGTTGCGGCCAACCCGACGGCCGGCGCGCTGTCGTTCGCCGACCTGTCCTTGAACGGCGCCGCGTCAAGCGCATCTGCCGAGAAGGTTGAAGTCGTCAAGGCCCGCACCAAGAGCCGCGAGCTCTCCAAGAAGATGGGCGGTGGCAAGAAGGGCCTGTGGGGCAAGCCGGAAGACCTCATTACCTCGGCGCCGATCGACCACGACGACCCCAACTACGATAGCGAAGAAGAGTCGGACAACGTCGTCTTGGTCACGTCGCCGCGTAACCCGCATGCGGCCCCGCCGCTCTCGCCCCGCACGCGCAGCCTCTCGAAAATTGCGCTTGTCGACGGCAACCCGCGTGCGTTTGGCAACGCGTCCGTACCCGCGGACGTCAAGAAGGAGATTGAAGAAATCGTCTCCGAGTACTTTGTCAGTGGCGAAGTCGAAGAAGTCCAGCACCGTATCAAGGAGCTTGCCAAGAAGACGAGTACGTGCTGGAATCTTGCTGGACACGGATATTGACGCATGCTTGTCTAGGCGAGCCGTACAACTATGAGCTTGTCAAGCGTGCGATCACCATGTCGATGGACAAGCACGAGAAGGAGCGCGAGAGCGTGTCCCGCCTTCTCTCGGAGCTCTACCTCAACGGCTTGAGCCCGCTTGAGATCTCCCAGGGCTTCCGCCGTGTCCTCATTGTGGCCGACGATTTGGCGCTCGACATTCCGAGTGCGATCAACATGCTCTCGATCTTTGCTGCGCGTGCGGTCGTCGACGAGATCGTGCCGCCCAAGTTCCTCGAAGATGCTTTCTTGGTCAAGAACGCCGAGCCCGTCGTCGCTGAAGCCATCAAGAAGCTCAGCATCAAGCACGGTACCGTCCGCATGGAGAAGGGCTGGGGCCCTGGCGATGGCCGCCCGGTCGAAGAGCTCAAGGTATTGCATCCGCCATGCAACTACAATCCTCTCACGACGCGGAGTAGGTTGCCATCGATCAATTGACCAAGGAGTACCTTCTGTCGCGCGACTTGGGCGAAGCCGCGGCGTGCGTTCGCGAGCTGAACGTCGAGCACTTCCACCACGAGGTAGCTATCGCTTCCTATTGCATGGTAATCATGTATCCTTGGACGCTAGGTTGTCAAGCGCGGTATCATCAACTCGTTTGATGACGGCGCGGACGCGTGCCACGCCATGAGCTCGCTCTTGGCCTTCTTGGTCAGCCAGGACGTGGTGTCGTCGATCCAGATCCTCAAGGGCTTTGAGCGCGTCAAGCTCGTACGCGCCCCATGACACGAGAACCCGTCGACTCAACATGCCATGCGTAGGCGCTGCCCGATATCAAGCTCGACGTGCCGGCCGCCGAAGGCCTCTTTACGACCATTGTCGGGCGCGCCACCTCGGACGGGATCCTCCCTTCGACCTTTGCGGCCAAGTAGTCGTAGCACACCTCGTACTAGCCATTCCTCTGTATTTCCCAATCACCAACCACCACCTCTTCTGTCAAATCCCTTGTGCCATGTACACATTGTCGTGTGGAAACGAATGAAACGCTGGTGGAGAGTGGCAGTGTAACGGATGCTGCATGGAACGCCGGGCCGGGAGCGGCCCAAGGACAGCAAGTATGGGCTCTCGTGGTACAAGTACGTCCACGCAGTCGCCACGTCGAGGCTCACGCTCGCTGTAGAAATACATTTGAGACCGAAGGGCTCTCGATCAACGACAAGGGCGAGATCACAGCGCTGCCGCCAACGCCCGACGCGGCCGATGCGACCGACGCCAGCGCCACAGTCCTCGCGCGCCACCCGCTCGTGTCGACGCCGCTGCGCCCGCGCCAGCATGCAGCTTCATGGACGCGCCGCCAGGTCCTCTTGCTCGACGTGGATACGTGCATGTTCTCATGCGTTAGCAGGAGAAGAAGCTTGAACCTCTGGGTACGCGCCCGGCGTTCAAGACGAGTGCGCCCACCAAGCTCCTGGGGTACGACACAGCCTCGAGCCAAAGTCGACCTGAGCTTCTCCGTAGACGCATGAGCTGGGACCCGGACGTGCTCGAAATCCGCGAGGCGAATCGGCGCGGCCACGAGCCGTTGCCGCCCGAGATCGCAAAGCTGCAAGCCGACAGCCTCGAGAGTCGACCGACGTCCCAGCCTGTGCGCGAAATCCTCAAGCAGTCGGCGCTGCCGTACCAACCGCGCGCCGGATCGGTTGCCAAGTTTACAAACCTAGCGCGCCAAAGCACGTTCATCGACCGGTCCGTCGATCGGCTCGTCGCGTCGCCGCGCGTCACGATGAACGATGACGACGCCGAGGACCTGCTCGAGGCGCTCGAGTCGCCGGCCCCGCCGACGCTCAAGTCGTCGCCGTCGTTTGGCCTCTCGCGCGTCAACCAGAAAAAGTACTTTGGCGCACCGGCGCGCCAGACGTTTTACGCCGACTACCGCGAACTCGCGGCCAAGCAGCAGCTCTACGCGATACCATTGGGCTCCAGTACGGTTGTCGACGCCATTGGTCGAGGCGAGACGACGGACGACGATGACGACGGCAGCGTCAACATTGCGTCACCGAGAACGCACTGCTTGACGCGCAGCATCATGGCGGGGCGCCCCGCGATTCCGCTCGTGATTCGCAAAAACACCACCAACGTTTTCGACTTTTCGTACCAGGTAATGCATGGGTGCTGTCACAAGACAATATTGTCTTGTGGACTCAATATTCGCACGAAACGCTCATTAACGCATGCCAACTCTAGTCGCTGGGCGACGCGTACATGGAGCAGTTTGCCGAGTGCGTGGGGAGCCTTCCGTTTCTCGAAGAAATCAACGTCCGCGACAACCGGCTCAGTGACAAGGGCCTCCACCGTCTCTTGACCGCTGTCCACCAGCACCTCCGACTGCGCAAGCTCGACATTTCCGAAAATACCATTGGGGCCGACGCCGCTAAGATCTTGCGCGTCATGATTGCGTCACCGACCTGCACGCTACAGCATCTGTAGCGCCATTGCGATAGTTTAGGGCTTATATCGAGGGGTAGGGTCATGGCGAAAGCCGACATTGACGACTTTGAGTGCGCCGCCTTTATGAGCGCGTTTGAGAAGAACGCGAGCGTCGAAGAACTCGTGATGCCCCGGAATCGCATCGGCGAGGCCGAGCAGCTCAACGTCGTCAAGCCTGAGATCACCACCGGCGGCGAAGCCATTGCCTCCATGCTGTACGTTTTGTCGGTACAAACATGACACGGTTTTGTACATGGCGACGTAGGTACGTCAACGAGAAACTCACCAAGCTCGACTTGAGCTGGAATTTACTACGACTCGAGTCGGGCGTGACGCTGGCCCACTCACTCGAGTACAACCGCAATCTGCTCGAACTGCATCTGGCGTACAATGCGTGCGGCGACGCGGGCGCCATGACGTTTGGCCACGTTCTCTCGCTCAATACGACGCTGCGGGTGCTGGACCTGAGCTACAACAACGTGGGCTGTCGCGGCGCGCTCGTACTGGCGAGTGCGGCGAGTAACACCAAGTCGCTTCGGTTGCTGCTCCTCAACGGCAACAACATTGGCAAGGAAGGCGGCCGCGCCATCATGTTTGCCATGTGCAACAACAAGAGCGACCACGGTCTCTTGTGTTTGAGATCGAGCGAAAGTGAATCTCAAATTTGTTTGTAGGCATTGACATTGAGATTGCCGGCTGCAACCTCGCGTCGACGGGCAAAGCCGAAAAGGCCATGTTTGACCCGACCAATCCCGCTGGCGAGTACAACCTCGACCTCTCCGAGCCGTTTGACCAAATGATCGCCAACGAGCTCCTGCGACTCGCCACATACAAGAAAGGCTGCCGCTTTGAGAAACTCAAGCACCACTCGCGCGTCGAGCGAGTGAAAAACAAAGGTCTCTATCTATCTATCTATCTATCTATCTATCTATCTATCTATCTATCTATCTATCTATCTATCTATC